AATAACGAAAGTGTACCGATAAACCGCGGTCAATATTATAGTGTTAAACTCGATTTTTTTATAAATACATCGAACAATGAAGCCGTGCAACCATCATTCGTTTTCTGTGGGAGGGAGAGAGAATCTGCGTATAGAGCGAGTACAATGTGTGGAGTTAAGATTGTAGACATAAATAATTTAGTGCATACACATCATAATAATATATTAATTATATCATTAAAATATTACGAATTATGACCTGTACTGCAGAAACTCCGGTGTTGATGATACGTCTGAAACCACAGATCACAGATGTCATGAGCTGGTTAAAGGACACCGTCTTATGTTCAGCAGCAGAGTCTATCGCAGAAGACCGACCGCCTGGAGGCGAGAACTATTAAATTATCATTAAAGTTTATGGTTTTGAGTAGTTTTTTTTAATGCTGTTGTGCAGTCTTAGTGAAGAAGAAAATTAGTTACTTATTAGTTACTTTACTACTATAACAAGGTTCAGAGCTTAATGTCCATTAAAAATCCTTGAAATATGGAATAAAAATTACCAAAATACGATTTTCTTGTGTATATTTTATATATTTTCTACGACGAAATCAAAACGTGTAGAAATAAGCGTAGAAAACCTGTAGATAATTTACTGATAATGACTATTATAATTTGACTGAGATAGCCAAATACATTTTTGCTCGACGTTTCGTAACTTCATTCGTCCCTCAAAGACCACATATTGCATAGCTCTTATTTAACTTGTTTATTAATGATATTAAATTTAAAATTTTTCGTCTAACATGGTGTGTTGTTATTTGCTAACGACCTTAGATTATTTCGTGTTATTAAGACTTCTATGCGATATTACTACAAAATTTATAAATTATAATATATTTTTTTTTTATTTTTAATTTAATGAGACAAGTACAGCTCATTAGCTTATTATTATCTCATTGTTATGAGAATGAGTTGGCTGATAGTGCCGCAGAGGAAGCCAACACCATTGGTGTTATCTACAAAAGACCAAGTCTGATACCTATATGTACTTTTTTTCTTATATATTTTGGCGTAAGAAAAATGATCTTCGAAAGTCCAAAATATTATTAAAAACTCGCCGTCTATTTGGTTCCTTTTACTTAAATTATATTCAGTTTATTTTATCGTGTAAGTTTGAGATATCGCCAAAGTGACTGTCTGGAGACTTTTGTACACGGTCGCGAGTCGACCATAGAATAATACTGTTTGGGGTCGACGCGACTGAACGATAATGGCAGCGTCATCTACTGTCGTCATTTAGAACACAGCACGAAAAAGTCTTCGCAAGATTACGGTAAGATACGGTTTTTATTTGTTCGGTGTCCGTGTTTCTGAGCTGCACGAGTGACGATGACATATTGAGCATTTGACGGCGGTGATAACGTTGAATTAGATTAGATATTTAGATAATATGTTAGATCAATTTTGCATCGAATGTAATAAAATTTACCAATGACTAAAAATAATAAGACCCACTCACAAAAACACAATAATTAATAAAACATATTATTTTTAGGATGTCGGTGATTCATTGTATGTCAACATATATGTATATTATAAAAAAATTCAAGTTTTTGATATTAATATATCGAATTAAACACATTATTTTCACGAGGTTAATATAGTACCAGTGTACCACCACCAACGTATCATGATATAAGGAATATATTTTGTTACCATCCTACACATTTATTGAAATTGTCATCACACTTCATACCAACATTAATAGTAACAATAATATTTACATTAAATTAGTAATAATTTGATGACCAAAGTCATAATCCCTACATTGTATACAGTTCAATTTACTTTATTTCTAAGTATAGGGAATAGGAATCACCTATAATTTTATTTTATAATTACCTACCTATTTAATTTTGATAATTCACTTATTTTTTCAACTTTTAATAGATTAATTATTTTTGCAATAAATTAATATTAAGTAGGTACGATCAAACTATATTTTACAATGGTAATGAAATTCTTGCTTATGTGACAATACAAAAATGATTAAGAATAGGAATCACCTTATAATTTTGTTTTAACTATACTTATTTTATAGTTTTCTTTTTTTCATTTTTTATTGCAATTTAGTTGACTATACTTTTAACAGTAATAATGTTTGTAATAAATTAATAAAAAGTGTGACCAAACTATGTTTTACATAACTTTTATGAACCTTAGCTTATAAAAAGCCTAAAAACCTACCTAACAGTATTATGAATTCATGACCAAATATCTACAAATAACTAATAATAAGCAAATGTGGGTGCAGTTTATTATCTACAGCTTAAACTTATAATACACAATAATAATAACAATTAGATGTTATTAAACCTAGTTTGTAAAAATTCACAATAATATTTGGTTACATATAAACAACGACATACAATTGTTTTTCTTTGAAAGTGCCATTGATTGAAGTGATTGAACATATATCCAAAAACTCCTGTGATACACCATGATGGCATGATATCAATGTAATATAGGTAACTTGAAGTGGAATCGGAGTCTCTAGTCTATACAGAGTACAGACCACGGTTATCTATTTGTGCAGATAACCGTACTACTGACTTATACACTTATACAATTGAGACCAATGTGTTTGAAAGTTTGCTGACATTATTTAAAAGGTTCTTCTCTCTTAGTTTTTATTTACCATTGATATGAAATATACAGGTATGATAATCAGAAAATCAATAGGTTGTTAGGTTAGCCCTTGTTATTAACAAAGTATAGTGTATACTATTTCAGTACAATTTTTTTTATATAGTAGACATTATCGTGAATATTGTTCTGTTTGAATCGGTAAATTAGTAAGTTCTACAGCTTATCGGTAAACGGTGGTAGTTGGTTGAAGATAATAACTTCATAACTAATTCCTACATGGCTTCATTGTATACAACTCAATTCACTAAGCATAAGAATTAACTTATAATTTTATTTTTATTTATTGTAATTTAATTCATTTTTTTTATTTTGAACAGAAATAATGTTAGTAATAAAATAATAAGTATGACCTAACTATGTTATTGCAACTTGTGCTTATTTAGTTATATTGATTATAAATACTAGTATTCAGAAGTATCTCAAGTATCTACTAATATTTATATTCAATGGTAATGGTATTATCTAGGTAAAACTTTTGGAATTGTAAATTAAATAAAAAACAATCGTCATTACCTATCATCAATTAGTTCAGAATTAGCAGATAATAATATGTTAATGTATCAACTATCAGGATAACTGCAATATGATAGACCATCTAATCAAGTAAGTATTATATTATAAGGAACCAGGTGACAGTATTGAGCTAAACAGTTCCCACCTGTTTCCGGTTTTTTTGAATGGAAAAAAAAAAGGTATTATATTATAACTGTACTATATAATATTATATCAATTTTATGTCAAATACTATGAATTGATTAAATATTTATTTTATGTTATGCATTTCACTTTTAAAATACCTATTTGAAAGAAACTTATTTTTTTTTTATATTTCTGAGTTTGTTCTTTTTTTTCTATTTATTTATTCTTTTTTTTTTTTGGTGTTTCTTTCATATAGGTATTTTAAAAATGAAATGCATAACATATAATAAATATTAAATCAATTGATTTTTATTTAATTTTATATTTTTAAAAAAATAGGAAAAAAAGACAAAAGAGCAAACCCAGAAAAAGAGAAATCAAAATAGATTAAAACCAGGTTATAACATTTAAACAGGAAGAATATATTAACAGTTCAGGGAAGTCTGTACCTCAAAAAGAACAAAACTTGTCAACAATTGTACTAAATGTAGTTATGTGTATTATTTTATAAAAAAAAAATTGTTTCTATAGTTATTTTCTGGATAAAATATAGTTCAGTGTTCAGTGTTAAATGTTATATATTATGTATGTCATTTATGTTATTATTATTATTTATTTATTATTTATGTATTTTTTTTTTTTAGTTTAAATTATATTTACAATAGAAATTGTATTGTTGAGGTATATTATTACTCTTACTACCTATTTGTTTGCTGTAGGCGGCAAATGTAATGAAAAAATTTTTTATAAATATGCAAGAAAATTTGTTTTTAATTCCTGAGTCTAGGGGATAACTGTAAACAAAAAATGTTTTTAGCCTCATGTGTTACCAAAGTTCCTGTTTGCTGTAAAAGATTACATTTTTCACAAGTGAACTTTCAAGGCAGATGTTTTTGAGGTATAGTGTAGAAATCAAAAGAAGTGTTAATTTAAAATTTCTTTGTGGTACTTTATCAAATTAGTCATAGTGTTGGAAGTGTATATGAGGGATGTATTAGAAAGTGGAATTTACACGGGTCCAATTTAGACAAAACCATATAATTCTATTGAAGCTAGTACCTACTGTTGAATTAGTCAAAGTGTAGGTACATTGTTCCTTTACTGGGATTGAACTTCATTATTGAAGGAAAGACACCAAAAAAATAATAACTCACTAGCAACCTCAAATATTGATTTCTACCATGTATCACTTATATAAAAATTAAATGTTGTATTTCTAAGACAATTCAACCTGTTTCTTTGTCCATCTATATGGTCATTATTTCAAGTTATTTCATGATTATGATCCTAAGTCGAGCTTTCTTAAACCCAAGAAGGATCAATGTCCATTATGTAACGCATATGCATTAAATAAAGAAATATTAACTAATTAACATATAAATAAATATAAATAATATTTACTTTTACTAATATTAGAAATGTAGAACAATCTTATACGATAAACATTTTGTCATCGGTCATCAGTCATCACCCACCGCAAGTCGGCAGTCGGAGTCGGCGTGGTAGACAAAATGCACCAAGGTAACGGACGTACTTCAATATATATATATATATATATATATATATAGATCTGTTAACTGAAAGTTGGTACTTAGTGGTTGGCTATCTTTAAATCTAGTGCGCCACTAGTCTGAATCGATCTTATAGAAGATCGATGTTTTGAAACAATAGTGATTTTTTGGAGAACGAGAGCTAGGTGGTAGCTCCTAGCTCGGCATCGGCTTTCTCACGAGTGTCACGTTTCCGGAATATTGGTTTTCCGACTGGTTGTGAAGAAACACAATCAATAATATCTTTTTACGAATCAATCTTATTGTTTAATGTTCGATCAATTAATTTTTATTCACATGATTTCCATTACTTCCTATTTAATAATTATAACAAAAATAAATAAATGTATTAATACTATTTTGGTCGGCGAATAAAATAGAAGACATAAGTAAGTTGAGACTGATATCAGTGATAACATCGCTTCGAATTCCCGAAACGTTAAATCACCACTCATGCACCTACGACAACCGTTTCCGGTTACTAATTGTCCGGGACACGGGCCAATACTAATTTTCTAGCCGCAGCGTTTATCATGTGGCTAAATTTAGCCAAGATTTCTTAAAAGAACGATTGATAATGGATAAACATAATAATATTGTAAATTTGACCAGTGAACACACGGGTAATACCAATAAAAAAAAAGTGTACGTATATCAAAAACTCAATTATTTGGTGTTATCCAACTTTTTAAGTTTTTGCTGAAAAGAAAAATTATTTGAAGACATCAACGATAAAATATATTCCAATGACAGAATACCAATTGAAGAAATTCCGGAATTAATTAGTGGTCAATGTACCGGTCTGTTTCAACCAACGACAGAAGTTTCTTAAATTTCATATTGTCATAAAGAAGATAATTTACCAAACTCACTCAATGATGTAAGCGTTGTTCATAATTCATTCGGTAGTTTTGATATTGACGTGTATGATTTTTATTAGGATGGTGAGTGTAAGCACTATTATTGAACTATGGGATAGCTGTGGTATACCAGAGTCTGTTAACTTATTACAAGAACTAGGGATTGATACATCCCAAGATTCTGTTAATATACCTGATCTAGTAACTACTGTCAGCAATCAACTCTATGAAGTTCGAAATAATTTTGTTGATTCTTCATTAACGGAGTATGATTTGATTAATACACCATTCGTTTTGCTAATAGCTCTGAGCTCGTTGAATGAATATCAGGTTAAATGGCTCTAGTAAGTACATAATCACTGATATTATGATTTTTTAAACCGATTTTAACTGTAATAATACAATTTATTTTCAGAATGATTATTGAGGAAATAAATTGTGAAAGAGATAAATTGAAGTATGATGTTGATACTGCCAACAATAGAGCAGCAATGCTTGCACAGGAAGTTGATGAAAATTATATTCAATTAGAAATATCATTGGCAAACAAAATAGCGTAAGAATAAATTTTAAAGTCTAGATATATCAAACATAATAAACAAATATTGTAATCAAGAAATGTAATATACTATTTAGTGCTCTGGAACATAAACATTATGAAGAAAGAAAAACACTCATTGATCAATGGGTTTCAGAAAAAGATCAATTACTTAGCCAAAACATTTTGCTCAATGATAAAGTACTACAATTACAAAATTATGAAAACGAATTACAATCTGAACTTTTAAACAACAAAAAAGTATGTTTGGTACAAATAACTAATTGGTAATTTTCTTTAGTATTAATTGAAATTCATTTTTTTTTAGCAACTGAGATTATTAGAAAGTGAAAATTCCATATTATATGAACAGTTAGATATAATAAAACAAAAATATGCTTCATTAGAAGTTCAAGTTCAAAAAAATCCTCAGTTAAAACTTAAGGTAATGTGTAATTTATTGTTGTAAGTATTTAAGACTGACCGTCGTATTTTATAATTTTCCATTGTTAGCTTTTCAGAAAAATGTGAAAATGGTGGTTATCTAATAACATATAATTTAGAGAGTATCAAGAGTATTCTTAAAAAATAACTAGATCTTAAGTTAATCTTTTAATGCATTTGATTTATCTTTAGGAACTAGAACTAGAATCTAATAATGAACAAATTATTAACCTAGTGCAAAAAATTGATTGTTTGAAAAATGAAAATAAATGTCTTAGAGACCAAAATGATGAACTGGTTACAGAGCTTGAAGCATCTAAAATGTATGTATTGTAACACTATTAAGTATTAACTGTTATAAAATATAACATTTTTATATTAGTATTGTGGTTTTTTTTAGGATAGAAAATGTAGGTACTGATGAGTCATTTGATGGTAATGTCAGGAATTTTTTGGCAGAAATAAATAGTCCAAACTGCATAGGCAAAGTGAAAGAATTTTCTGTTGGGGAAAATGGGAGTGACTGTACAAGTGCATTTGAAACATATTCAATTGAGTCTGACCTTGATACATGGAATAATGTTAGTAAAACTTATAGTAAACTATGTATTGATTAATTATTTTGATTTTGCTTGGCAGGTTGAAAAATCAGAAAACAAATCTTCCCAGACAATGATGTATGTAAATAATATAAAAACATCTTTATCCTCTCAATCTCAAATTGAAGCATGTCATTTAGATGAATTAATTGAGTATTTGGAACATATGAAACAAATACCAAAATTAGACCAATCACAACATGTTGAAGAAAATGTGGCACTAGAATCAATGCAAGAATCTCCAGATAGTTGTATGACTTCATCTTTAAATAAATACCAAACTAGGAGGTCATTGAATAAGCAATTTGAAAATTCAATTGACCCTGAATTTATGGGAACTACTTTAATAGAAGTGACAAATGGCAGTGTTGAAAAATTGAAACAAATGTACGATCAGTGTAAATTAGAAAATCAGGAGCTGCTAGACAAGTGCGAAAATATTGAAAAGTACTGGGAATCTAGGTACAATCAACTATGTGAAGTAGCAGACAAAGCACTGGATGAGGCTAAACGGTTTAAAGATGAAGTTACTGAATTTGAACGTGGTATAGATGCACTGCGCAGTGAATACTTTGAGTGTGAAGAATATTGGTCACTAAAATTAGAAGAAGAACGTATAATAAACGAATTGGTTAGTCGGTACTTTTTAATTAGAAATGTTTTATTTTCTACAAAGCATAATTGCCTTATATACTATGAGTAAAATAACTGTAAAATGTATTTATTTAAAAAAAAATCAGAATTAAATGTATATTTAGGAGAAAAAAGATAGTGAAGAAAAATTGAATTATCTAGAAATGAAGATTAAAGAGTACAGTGATATGTTAGAAGAAACAACTGATAATAAATTACCTTCAATTGACGAAAATGCTGAACTTGAAGAACAAGTAATTATTTTTTTCAAACATTTTTTATCCAAATATAATTCAAATGATTTTTATTATTTTCACAGATCAATTGTATTCAACAAGAGTTTTCCAGCTACTGTGTAAAAATCGAAGAAGAAATGGAAAAGCTTAAGATTGAAAATGAAAGATTGAAATCTAAAATTGTTATTCTAGTCGAAAAAGTTGACTTTGAAGTAACCAATTGTCAATTCAAAGAAGAATGTGAGCAATTCCATAACAATTTGAAAGTTTGTTTTCCTTATAAGTTATAACATATAATATTTGTTTTTTAATTTATGTTTGTTATGTATTATTTGTCCTGCTTCTCTCTGGGTTATTAGTTTTTTTACTATTTATATATTTATTAACAAATATCATAATTAATTCTTATTCAAATCATTTATTGAGATTTAAATCAGTTTAATAGTATTGCTAACTACCGTAATAAAAACATCTTAGATTTAATTTTTTCAATGCATATTTAGATACTATATTTCTTGGCGGTTCACTCACTCCGCTAGTAGATTCTTATAATCTACCCATGGCATTATTTTATCCAATTAATTCTCCTAATTTACTTTGACCTTTCAGTGCTAAATTATTATTTACGCTGCTGCCTGTATTTAATGTATTTTTTTACATTTTTGTTTCTATGAGAATTTGGAAACTCCTGAAATTTGTGATTCGGAGAATATTGGTTTATTCCATGTATATTTGTCTAATTTCATTATTATTTTTTAAACAGTTTTGAATTTAATAAGCTAAAACGTCACTTCAAGTTTCATATTCGTAGTATTGTTCTTTAGCATACAAGTGTTTGTATATGCTCATGCTCCATAGCACAAAATGATAATTGACCAATCAAAACCCATTTTTAATTTTAATTGATTTTTTTGCTATGATTTGGCGTTATTTGGGATCCATACGACCTCAATGACTCCCTTAGGCTTGAAAGTGTTCAGCGTACATTTATGAGGTATGCTAGTTAGTTTTAGGTTAAATATCCCCTGTGAGCCCCACAACTATGGACCAGTTGCTTCTCAACTAGGGCTGGTTTCGTTTGCTTAGTGTAGACGGATCTCGGGCATTAAGTTCCTGAATAGCTTATTACAAGGTGATATTGACTCTCCCTATTTGCTTTCCTTAATTTGTTTTAGAGTTCCTCAACGTCATTCCCGATCTGTTGCTCCTTTTTATGTTCCATTCGCCTCCACTAATTACCTTAAAAATGAGCCTTTTACACGCATGATGTCTAATGCCAATGTTGACCCTTCATTTCTTTTTTGCAAATAATTTACTGTATAGCTATTAATTTAATATTTATCATAATTTGTAATATTAATGTGTAATAGACATGTATAATGTGTATATAATATTTAGTAAAAAAAAAAATTTAAAAAATGATATTATTAAATTTTTAGCTAATCACGATATAATCTCCAATCTAAATAATTTAAATTTAGATATAGTGATCTCAAAATCTTACAAAATTCTAAACCACACCATTGATTTATCTGTCCAAAAACTTAATTGTGATAAAATAATATTATATACTTGTCTATTATATACTTTCTGTCAGAAATGTTGCAATACTTCTGAAACTGTCATTTGTTTGTGCATACCTACAAAAATAAATAAATAAATATGCTGTTTTATTATTTAGACAAACAGTGAATTGAAACAGTTTGACTTAGAAAAAAATAGTGAAAAGTTAAAAATAGAATGTCAAAGTTTGTTGCAACAAAGAAGCATACTTAAAAACGAAATTGTACAATTACAAGAATGGCTTAATGTACTTTCAGTAAGTTTTTAAAGTTGTTGTTTAATACTAAGATACTGGTTAACACTCAGTATTGAATTTGAACATTATTTAAACTCTTATTCTATACGCTTATTGTACAAAATGTATAGATTGTGTAAGTGCACTTGTAAAATAAAAAAAAAACATTATTTAAGCCTTACACATACTATGTATTATACTATACACTTGTCCCATTTCAACAGTCATATTTTCAAATCAATTGTATATACCATTGATAAAGTTGTTAACTGCTGCCAAAAATTTAGTTATTTGAGTTTCTGAAAAAAGAATATGTATCCTAACTAAATAATATATATTTGAATTCAAAAAAAAAATTGAAAAGCTTAAGTGCCATTACTTTCAAAATATTAGCAGATTCATAAAATAAAGCTAAATTTGTCTGTATGACTTGAGTTAAGACTCATGTTGAATAAAACTATCTATTGATAGATGAGAATGATTTCTGATTAAAAATGTATACAATTTTACTTATAAAAAAAACCTATTTTTTATTTTCAGAATACCCACAAAGATTTCTTCATGCAAAAAGAAATTGATCAAGCCAATCAGGTATTCATAGATGCGAGGAGGTGTAAAGAACTGGAACAAAGTTTTCGTGATGAACAGACCAGACACCAAAAGTTGACTAACGGTGAGTAAAACAAATATTTTATAGTTATTCTATAGTGGGTTCAGTAAACACATATAATTTCTATTTGTATTAATGTGTTTGATTTTGTTCATTTATGTAATTAAAGTCGTCACGAAACAAATCTTTGATAAAACTTTACTTTTTTAGCTATTACTTTCTGAATTATTACATAATTTTAATTGCATATTCTGAAACAGAATATTTTGTTAAAAATCTTGCATTAAAATTGAATTGGTTATAACTTATAAGTAGGTACTAAAAGTTAAGACCAGAGAAAAATTGTAGTACACTTATCGGAAAGTTTACAATAAAATTGTTCAATGAATTATTCTTGTAACAAATATTCAAAATTAAAATTTTGGAGGGAAAAACATTTAATAATAAAATCAATATTGGACTATGAATCTAATGATGAGTTGGAATAACTACTAAAGAAGTTTAAACAGATCATAATTTTTACTCTACAAGATTATGGTGATGGAAATATTTTGTCATTCAACCCAAAGTATTGTCATTGATTTAATATGCAGTATATACCATTTAATATATTTAACCTATAGTATTGCACAACAATTTATTTCATTTAATTTTATTACTTTATTGAGTATACATTGATTTAATTGTCCGTGTATACTGTATATTGTTTTAAATTTAGCTGTTTGGAATGAGCACCAGTTAAAAATTGATATGGTACACATATTATTGCGGTTATCGCAAGATAAACTCGAATAACAAATTAAGATGAGAAATGAACAAGTTAGTGTTGTCTTGTATTTTGTGTATTATTTAATCAAAATGATAGATATATTTATAGAAAAAAATATTTTTTTTTCAGAATAAACAACTCATGAGTGCTGATATGATTGTTAAAGAACTTTTCATCGAAAATGCCAAACTGATATCAATGATCCATAGCCTTCAATCACAAAGTGACCATTCAACAAATTATAGTTCAGTGTAACCAGTTTTTTCACTGTTATTATTATTTAATATTTTTTTAAATACTGTATAAAATTGTGCAGATTATTTTACCCACATATGTAGCTTTAAGGACTTAAACACTGTTAGTTTTTTAAAGTGTGGATCTTTATCATTTTTTGTTCTATTTTGTATTATCATTTATTTTTTTTATAATTAATAATTAGTTGAATGTATAAAATTAGTATAAAATCACCTTAAATGGTGCCTTAAACGATGACTTTATTATATAAGGGCTCATCTTATCAAGTCACTTTATACATAAAAATTACGGCTGAGTAATTTGAAAATGACAAAAATATCAAAAACAATAAAAATTAAAACAATATACATTATTGTATTTTCGTCAAACTAAATATATTATGTTAAAATTATTGTACTATTATTTTATTATGTATTAATGATACTACTTTTGTTTTGTTTACTGTTAATTACTTGTAGGCTATAGTAATACATGAATTTATACGTTAATGATTATTATTTATTGTAACATACTGTTTACTATTAAGTCATTAGTCAGATTGTCCTAGTACATAGTACTTTAACTTTGATAAACAAACCATTGGCTTCCTCTAACTTAAAATCTCTTGTCATTAATAAAGGCTTAATAATTTTAATGCAATCTGGCCTATGGCATAATACAATATTAATTAGTTCTTTAGGATTAACAGTATCAAACGCTTTGGGCCAAATCTAAGAAAATTGCAATTATTTTCATACTTTTATCAAGACCATTAGTTATACAGTTAGTGGTGCTATATAAAGTATCACCCGCTCTTAAACCTGGTCTAAAACCAAACTGATGTTTTGATAGGAGCTTATGTTTTTCTAAAAATAATATGTGCCTGTTTTTAATTATTTTTTCTAGTATTTTAGACAAATTGCTAACCATTGAAATCAGTTTATAATTATTTAATTTAGATTTTTATCCATTCTTAAATATTAGTTTAATTGTTGCTTATTAAGTTTATCAGGAAGGACACAATTTTTAATACTTAGATTGTATATGTAATAACTAATAAGTATAAAGTAATGGAACTTATTTTAAATTTAACTGTCAACCACAAGTTTTAAAATATTTACAGATATACCATCAAAACCCACAGCAGTATTGTCTTTAAAATTATTTAAAATTTCTCAAACATCAGAATCTATAATGTTTTCCTTCTGCAGATTGTTTAATGGCGTTGAGGCATGATCCTTCATATTTAAATGTTGACTCTTGATTTTAAATTTTGACATCTTAAAAGTACCAATTATAGATTCGATTTTTATCAGAAACAGACCCTAAAGTTGAACATTTAAGAATTTCACGTAAGTAGTAAGTATGCAGACACAAATTAAAATCAAAAATCCTATTGTAAAATCAATACATTCAATATTCATCGATTCACTGAGAATCTAAAAAAAATGTTGTATGTGGATTGTTTTATTGTACATTTAACTTGTATGTCCATAAGTAATAACAAATTTATATTAGGTCTTAATCTTTTAATATTAAAAAATTGTCCAAGTATATTTGGCCAATTAGTAATTATCAACAAATATTTTGTACCTATTGCATTATTGCATACTTAATTATTATAATAACCTAGTTTGTATCCATTTACAAAGTATTTAATAGACTATTATAGGCCTTAGTAGTTTAAGCACTGAGCAGAATGGCTCAATATTTTTTTTCAGTATAAATTACAATACTTCTTAATTTGAATGTATTCGTTATTACTAATTTTAGCATATGGGGTGAGCCGTGAGCATGCTTAATAAATCACTTTGAATAAATTGTATGACATGGAACATTGTTGGATCGATTTAATTTTACAACCGCTATTTTAACAGTGTGAAACTATTGAAACGATTTCCGTTAAATTTTCAACAACGATATATATTTCACATATATTATAAACTATGTTCTTATTTATTTTACAGTTATTCTTCGGGCGTTATATGTTAATTATTTAATATTTGTACTAAATATTATTTTATCATATTAATTTACATATAAATTATAAATCATACAAATTATTTCGATTACAGTTGCAGACACTCTGTGTGTACGCGCATTATTATCTATTTAGGGACATATATACACCGGACATTGTGTATAATAATAACTATGCTTATTTTACGATATCCAGCCTTATCTGTAGAACACTATGTGTGCGATAAATTTTTATTTACTTTCAGTAAAAAATATGGAATACAGGATACGTTTCTGTGAGAGATAGACTACACACATTGTGTTAATTGTGTGGCTACAGTACCGCTCACATAGCGTAACACGTTTAATTTAAATAGGTAGGTAATAAAAATTAATAAATTATATTCTAATATCATACCGCGTAGCGAAATCCACAACGGATTTAAAACGATTTTTTTTTAACGTCACGTCGCCTGAATTATGTTTCGAGTTTTGGCATTTCTACTCGCTCTGTCGGTGTCAAGTCTACACGGTCTACTGCAGACTATTAACGGTAGGTACCTACCTATTTTACCTAGCTAGTACCAATTTTATTATGTACTTATATAAGTCAATTCCTCAGCGGCTGTACTTGTAGTTTAATAATTCGACCAAAATCGTTCTGTTCCCTTATGTATTGACTTTTAAGCCAAACCAAGAAGTTTGATATTTAGACACTTTATGTCTTTACGTTATTCACGTAGAAAAGTATTAAAATATAAGTTGTAATGTTGTATAGGTAAAAATGTTACATTTATTACATATTTATTTTGATCATGGTAGTTGCCACTTGCCATCACAATTAAACTCGGTATCGTCAACCGTCGATCAACCAATCAAATAAATAATAATTAACGACCAATAATTCTAATATATAGGCGTGTATTTTTTATTTTTTTATAACTATATAGGTAAAATATTAAATTGATTTTTTTTCAATAACTTTTATGAAACTTGTATTTATAATACTTGTCCATACTATGAATAACATGAATTCAAAATATATATTAAACTTTTGGTTTGGCCGAAAAGAGAAGATATTAATATTATTATAGTCGAATAGTCGGCGAGCGTGAACGATAGGTAGGTCGCTTTGCCGCTTTGGTATATAATTACTCGTGTACCTAAGCGTGTAACACTATTGACATTTAAAATTTAAAATTTAACACTTATCGATGTTGATTTTCTGCTGCAATGAGACACAACAATACATTAATACTACTATATTTTACCGTTTATACCGTATTGTTATATTTTTCAAATCGTCGTCTTTAAAAATAGGCGAACTATGCACGGCTGTTTATACTGTAGGCTATGGATATTCGAATTGGTACAACGCCACTGAAATTCCTACGGCGGATGGCACAGTGATGTTCAAGTTTTACGTGCAAGCGGCAAGTGACGCTCACGTCATGTTGGCTAGAGAGCCGTTGTCGTTCGGATACGAAATCGTTCTCGGAGGCGGGTCGAACAGTTTTTGCGATATACGCAAATTCAAAGGGTTAGTGCACTTATAAATAATAGGTGTACTGTATAATATTATTGTATCGTTGTATAAAATGATTTAGTGGAATTTGATATCGTACATATTTTAACCGTATAGCGAGTTAACGTCGGTGGCCACCGTTAACACTGAAAAAATCCTCGACATGTTAAGCCCCGTCGGTTTTTGGGTACGAGCGTCCCAGCAGTCCGGGCTCATCGAGGTCGGCAGGTACGGCGAGAGCTTGCCGTTCATTTTTTGGATGGACCCGGAGCCTATACCGGTCAAGTATTATAGCTTCAGCTCGTGGGGCACAGTGGTTTGCAAATGGACGTTCAAATGTAAACCCGACCCTCTGGCGAGAGTGACGCCGAAGATTTTAGTGCCGGATACGAGAGGTTAAATTACGTGTACCTAATATTGCAATATTATATACTCACGAATAAATCGTGCCCACATAATCCATTCGATACTGTGTGAAATGTAATAAAAGATCGTATTTTTATGCAAACGAAAATGTGTTGCGTTTCAGACCGAGTCGATTATACGAAGAAGTTTTTGACATACATGGAACAACTCAGGAGAGATGTACTGAAAAAGCGCGGCCTGTTCGGAGGCGACCCGACGACGAACGCGAAGAGAGTGTTAAACGTGGCGCTAACCAGTGACTTCAAGTTCATACATCTGGTAATTATTACAACTATAGAGCCGGCCTTGGGCCCCTGCCCCCGGGCCCAGTGAATTTGTATAACATGTTGGGCCTAGTTTCATAAAAAATTAAAAAATAATATTACATTTTGAGCAGTTCTCGCATAAAAAAAATGCTCCTGGTCTTGCTCCACCTTAAGGCTCTGAAGAAACTCTACATGGTATTATGTAATATTATTTGTATAATATATTTGGTTTAAATATGATGTGTAATGTGTATTATTATGTAGGTATTTTGTTCTTGCAATAATAAACGTAATGTATAGTTGTAAGTTGCGTATGATTATTCGTTTTTATTTATTTTTTTTATTTTGTAGGACGTCATGACTTCGACGCTCACGCTTCGGGGTATCGCCACTTTTGTAAGTATATTTTTGTATTCGATTAGTGGATTTATTTTTCCTGTTAAAACTAAATTAAATAGAAAACTAAATAGAAAAACCCCAGATGAATCAAGTCCCTGATCAAATTATCCCCCGTGTATATCAATGTAGATATATTATGTAAGATTGTCCAGTTTTCTTATCGCGGTTGTATTAAAAGACATAGGTAATATTGTCATCGATATATATTTTTATGTCAACAGTCAACAGTTATGTATATGTAATACTTATAATATGTACAATATTTAATATATTATTTTTGAATTGTTTTCCGGAAAGGAATGGACGGACAACAGTATCCATTGGAACCCTCAAGACTATAAAAATATTTCCAGATTGCATTTATCGAATTACGAACTATGGCAACCCGAACTCGTACTACACAAGTATAGTAAAATATTATAAATTAATATATAATATTATAATATGTATCACAGCTATGAAGAGAACTAACTGTTATAAACATTTTATAATCACTAATCACTGTCGATTTCCTTTGTCAGCGCCATGGATCCGGCCACTAGTATGTTTTCCGAATCGAAAGTATCAGTGGACAACAACGGCAATGTCACATGGAGACCTAAATTTGACATTAGAACCAAATGCGATATCGACTTGACGTCGTGGCCGTGGGACAAGCACAAGTGTACCATACTGTTGAGCACGTGGTCGCATAAAGTATCCAATGTCTTCTACGAAATCAAAGAGAACCAAAAGTCCGTAAGTATAATATCACGCACGGACATGATTCCCAAACGCACCTACGTCTAACACGTATTATAATCTGTATAGTTACACAGTTTTTGGAAAGAACGTCGTTCATGAACGCACGTTCACTCGTTAAAGTTCATAGTTAGTGAACGATATTTGAACGTCACTCGTTTTTTTTTCAAATTGAACGTGAACTTAAACGACTTTTATATTTTAATGAAATTGAACGATTTTTAAGATTCTCAATTTATTTGAAATTTAATGAATATTTGTTTAGAATATACTGATTAATTATTATAATATTATATTTAATAATATTTTCTTATTAAAATTCCTATTATAAAAAATTGAAAAATGTAATGAACGACCTAGTGAATGCATTTGTTTTTTCAATGACCGTGAACGCTTTTATTTGAAAAAAAACACGAACGTGAACGTGAATGAGTTCATTTTTTTTAGTGAACGTTCCGAACACTGTTTATCAACAGGTAGGTACTCTGTCCAGCTAGAGAATACTCCGTGGTCAGACGAAAATCGGTTCTTTTGTGCATCCCTACGTGACACCCTGCCATAGTTGAACCGGTCATCTAGATGGTGGGGTATCTCTAGGAAATGCACAGAATCGACCATGTTCTCTCGCTTAATAGAGTATAGTTGAGGTGTGCTTCTGTCGGAGAACTGTAACAATATGATATTATGTGTACAATATTAAGTTGTATTGCGTTTCATATTGTCACAACATATGCAGGAATGTTTTCAAGTCTCTCATTCGGATTGGAGACTTGACAGTATGACGAGCTCGTATGTCGAAGACAGCACCCCGTGGGACGATATCGTGGCATCCATCAACAACGTCGATGGATCTGCAGAAGACGGTCCCCCTCAATATTCACTGCAGCTCGTGGTGGAAATATCTAGAAACACGAAGATTCTCGAGAAATTGTTTTGCGTCCCGTTAATACGTACGCTTTCATTTTTCATTTTTTTTTAAACTCAAATACTATTTTTTATTTCCAATTACTTTGCCAGATTATAATATTATGTACATAATTGCATTTTAATCACTGGATCAGATTATGAACACATTAAATGGAAATCCTTTAGATTCTCCTGAAAAATAATGTTATAATTGAAATTCGATCATAATAGATTTTTTTTTCTTCAGTGATCAGTTGTGTGTGGCTGTCATCTTTCGGTATAATGCCGAATTCTTCATCAAAAATCTTCACAATTTGTGTGTCAATTATACTTTCAACAATGATCATTGTATACATGACGAAGTATGTGCCGGTTTTCGCTGAATTTCCACCAGACTTGAGTAAGTAAAATATTTTATTATTACCCGTTTAAAAATAGCTAATAATCAGTATATTCATCGTAATATAATTTCAACTAAATTATTTAGTTTACATTTTATTTAGATTTTATAAGGCATTTTAGTTGATAATGCATGTGGGTACTTAAGTATTTTTTTTTGTTCTTAACTTTTTTTATAAAATGACACAATAGTGTTTACTCGCTTTTACAGACTTACGACCTTAGGCAAGTGTCATGAGTAAGTAATTATTGTAGGCGTTACTACAACATGAGACATCAAACATGTATTTTTTATCAATAGGTAATAATATTAAAAATGCATATTAGATTTTGTATGAAAAGGTAATGAATAACATATTTAGTTAATTCATTTTATAATTTCATACACTCATATACAATTATTTAAGGACATACACTTTGATATTTTAGTCATATTTCCATTAATTTTTTAAAAAAAAGTTGCGAGGGTTAGAATTGTAACTTAGAACGATATCATCAATATGCGAAAGACCAACAGTATTAATAATAATATTATGGTGATACGGCGTATTGAGTAGACTAATCAGTTACACCATTGCGGTAGCCTGTAGGTATAATTACGAAGAAAAATGTTTTTATTTTATCATAATTCATAACTAATAAGTTATGAAATTTGTATCATTATTCATTAACATATCATAACTTATAATATATTTAAGAAATATGAATCCTGGTAATGTGTAGGGCATTTTTTTTCCAGTGCTTGGATACTTGAAACTTATCCTCTTGATATCGATGGACGCCTTCATCTCCTCGCTACTCATAACCGTGCACAGTCGCAAAACGACCAGCAGTCATCCTCCGTTCGCGTTAACTAGATTCCTGACCACGCCCATCGTGACAAGACTTCTAGCGTTGCCGAAATTGGATTCCCCCCGGAACCTCGTTTACGACCAGCTGGACAACGGACTCGACTCAGGACACTAGACCACGACCACCCTTTGGGATATCGTCATAGTCGCTTTCGAGAGAATCATATTCATAATGTTTTTCGCAATAACCGTGGCTGTATTGGGGTCGGTCAAGATTTCCGTTACGACTCTGTTTTGATAGATCTTAACAGTATTAATTGTATAATAAAATGGCCGAATATATGAGCGGTAATAACAGGTTATCATGTAGTCACGGCAGTTGCGTATTTATGATTTCTTCGAGGAAGTAGACCGGGAGAGAAGCCTTGAGTTGATGGAAATTAAATCTAACGGTTGATGATGGAAAAACAAAGTTTCATAAGATATATACGAGAACACGAATTAAAGATATTTCTTAAACAAACGAGCACTATTATTTCAACAGTGAATAATTTGTATTTGTATAAAATTAAGCAACTCTATTTTATTTTTTTGTAAATTTAGACTATTTACTGGGCTGATCCAGTTTTGTAAGAAATATTACAGTTATAGGTTAGGTATAGGTACGATTAAATAAATGGTTTCAACATTCAAATAGTATACAGAACTGCAGTACGGTGTACGAATAATGTTTTCACTGTTGTATTATAAATCGAGTTATCGTAAAGCGAATGGTTTTGTTTTTTCATAATTATACACACATTGCTTTTTGTTTGTGTTCCGCGGCATAATTCAGGATTGATACTATTTATAGATGTCATTTCAAACGTTATGGAAAGGATGACTCAGTTAGGCCAAAGTTCCCCCCTGCAGTAGTACCACGATTCAACATACACACACAAATATATTATTTCATACAAATATGCTGAAGGTGTTATCCTTCTGTTAATATCCACCCATAAATACTCCACTGAGTGACATACGTGTATAAATGTATAATAGTATACTAAATATATATATATATATATAGGTAATAAACTCAAAATTCATATTATATACATTTTACATTTCATGTGAAATAAATACACATCGATGATAATTTATTATAAGTTAGAATAAGCACATAATTATAATTATTTAATAAATATATATGTATTTTAAATGAATAAACCTAAAATTATAACTCAATGTTTGTATAAAATATCGTTGTAGAAAACATTCCATGATGAGTACAGTGGTTTTGAATTGACAAGTCATACTTCATTGCTCTCCGGCTTAAAAGGATCTATTGAAGGTTCTAAATGAACCAAGGTGCAACTAGTGTCCCACAACTTTACGCTGACCTCTTCGTCTTTGGCCGCGGGTTCTGGTTCCAGTACTTTACAATCACTGAAAATTCAAAAAAAAAAAATTCACTCAGATGTAAGAACCATTATATTTATTATTAAAAGGACCAATATTATAGGTCGTGTATGTACATCATACAAACGGAAATGGAGACAATTTGAACTTTTGAAATATGAGACGCGTCCGCACGATAATATTATGCGCAGGTGGTATATAAAATTGATTAAATAAAAGCGTACAGTAGGTATTGTTATATTATTGTGTCACATAATAGGTGCAACTTTGGAAATTGTTTAGGGGTGCCTTCGTGCCTAGAATGTATTAGTACAGATCCTGAAAATTGATATTTTAAACTAAAATAGGTATGATAAAAAAAACTCTGGGGGAGGGTTAAGGATGAAATTGGAGGGGCTTAGACCCCCCCCCAAGCCCCCCCTAATTGCACCTATGTTGGGTAATAAATCCTACCTATAATATAAACCGCTTTCGTCTGCACATTTCTCGTCCAGAGCGCAGTGTAACGTGGTCTGAGCACCCTGTTTAGGTGTCTTAACTGCAATTTTGGCGATATTATTGTATAGCCAAGATGCGCCAGGAAATATGGTCTGATCGACATACCGGCCGAGTTCGGTGTGAACGATGCCTGGATTGACAGCGTATACCGTCACTCCGGTACCTATAAATTATAATAAAAAACTTATATTTTTCGTTTACGTAATGCGCTTTTGCATTTTGCTGTCCACGTTCCGTAGTTACTGGTTACCAAACTTACCATTTAGACGTTTGGCAAGTTCCACGGTGAATAAAATGTTGGCCAATTTGGAGCGGCCGTATGCACCGCTGGGCGTGTAGTCCTTGTCCAGGTTTATGTCGTCAAAATGCATTTTTTGATCTCCCCCTGTATGGCATATACAATATACATAATCAGAATAATGAATTATGCTTTCAAATTTAGATTCCAAACTGCTAGTTATTTCAACCAAAATGTACCAACATGTTGTCAATCATACTTCATACTGATGGGCTTAGTAATGCAATTATAATTTCAAACAATTATTTCAATTAAGTATTATGTCTACTATACCTTGATCAGGCCACTTTTTTATAATGTTGTTTCTCAACCCCGGTAAATTGTATTGAACATGTAAAATTGATGAAACTTTAAATGTTAATTATTCGAAATTTAAATTGAACATCTTAAAAGGTCCATTTCAAAATAAAAATAAAATCAGTTTTCAGAAGTTTCATCACGTTAACAGGTCCATCGGTAAGATTTACAAAAAATGCAGACAATGTATACTCGTAATATTATATTGATTATCTCTCACTCTTCCTACGCCAATGTGGTGACTGGTGAATAGTACCCGCGCGTGCGGAGCGCTGCATTATTTCTTTTACACTACAGTAACACTCTATTATCACCACTTACTATCCACACATTTACAAATTACAATACCCGCATGCCAGGTACTAGACAATTAAATTGCCTTTATTAAGCTCCTTAAAAACTGTCTATTTGCAATCCCCCTAAATTTAAAATTGTAAATGCACATTTAGATCATACACTTATTAAAATAATAAAATGTTTGAACCTACTATAGGTTTCCAAGGGTCAACATTGTTTGAAAGAGATATTCGATACCGGTGTATGCAATGGAACCTAAAGTGCATGATATCTTTGTTAAAAAAAGGTGTTATCTTATTGTTGTTTTGAACTTCTTTTTCTCTCTCGCTTTAATGGGTATAAATGGACTTAAGTTAATCTTTTTCTAACAATGTTGGCCCAGGGACCTTTCTCTCTATTTTTTTTAGATCTATGATTTAAAAGAGCAATACCCTTACATTTAAAATCTTACAAATTTACCTAGGTACCTAGATGATTAATAAAGTAGTAGAGGTATCACAATCTTCATTAAAATTTAAATATCTACTTATCCACGAATAACAAATATATTACACGTATTTCCGGTATTGGTATGGTGTACAATGTTAACAGTTATTTTAGTAGACTGTCGTTATTGATAATTATAACTATATTATGTTTTCTTACTCAATAATTCAATAATGTGTTTGTATAATATAGAAAAATATAATATCAAAACTAGGGCAGAATCCTGAAATTATACTTGTAGACCTATATATATATACGGTTATACTTAGATGTCGATTCAGGAAGAACCTATTATCAAAATTAAATCTACTTATTTTGTCAATTGTGATAACATAGTAATATTATAATTCGAATTATACAATTTACGTACATTTGTGAGCTAATGAAGTCACGTTGATTATCCTGGCCGGAGCTGACTTCAGTATTCTGGGCAGCAACAAGAGCGTAAATAAAAAATGACCCAAATGGTTGGTTGCCAAATGAAGTTCAATTCCGTTCTCCGACAATGTTTTCGGACACATCATACCTGTGAAGAAACCGTAAGTGTTGATATTAATTAATTTATGGATAACAATATGTTATATACAGTATTATTTTTGTTATTTGAACTTGAAATAACGGAAAATATAGCAACTTATATAAATTTTAAAAATATATTACAATATTCTATTGTGATGTACACAACAAGACTCACCCGCATTGTTTACTAAAATATCTATTCTTTTCTCCGTGCGCAATATCTCTTTGGCGCATTTTCTCACCGAAGCCAAAAAAGACAATTCCAAATGCTTAAAAACTAACTCTCCGACGTTATTATCTCCTTCAGTCTGATTTTTTATGCTGTCTATCGCGTCTTGTGTCCTGGACGCACTTCTACACGCCATTATCACTCGAGCACCTATAAGTTGACAACAACATTATTGTGGTGACTGATGGAGAGCACAGGACATTAGTAGCATGTATATTTATATAGGCACTTTTCTACTAAGATGAATATTTTTGCATAGCTAAAATATATCCAATAATAAATTCATAGGCAAATACATATATTTATATATTATATTATATGGGAATTTCCACACTAATTTAATAAAATAAAGAAAAGAGAAATATTTGCATTATTTTAAAAGAAAATGCTTCTTCGATCAAGTTTTATAAAATCACATAAATTAATTAATCTTCTCCTATACCTACACTATGTGTTGACATTATGTTAGGTTAGGTTAGTTTCTTAGTTTATGTTAGCATTCAATGAAAAACCTTATTTGAGTATGAATCTATATAGTACATATTTAATTTATTTGACGAATATCCTACTACAATTTTGCATCAGATAGGTAACCTATTATAAATTAAAATAAGTGTAGTACGATAGCGAATTTTTAGAGAAAAGCTGTGATTCACAGCCAAAACCTAAATTGTTACCTAGTTCAAATGTTTAAATAATCAGTACCTATATCAGTAGTTGTTGATTAAGTTATATTATACTGTTGAGAACTGATAACTACGGGTTTTTTTTTTAATTTTACGAGACAACCCATACAAAATTCGATTTTAAAATATTACATGCTAACTATATGAACTTTTATAGAATAATTTTTTTTAATCATAAAACGGGTGTTCAACATTAACAGTAATATAAGTTGTTACAAAATGCGTGACTTTATTTGCTTATATTTTATAAAACAAGTAAGAACACTTTGTGTAATGAGTAATGATGAATTATAATATTATTATATTAGGTGCTAAAGGTGTGACAATGAGTGCATATCTCACTTACCTCTCTTGTAGAATTCCGTAGCCGTTTCTTTTCCGATTCCTGTGTTACATCCCGTCACGACGACTGTTTTTCCGTCTAGTCGCGCCGTTGACGTACAGTGGTTGGGTAATAAATACTCCATGCTGAAATGATAACACACCAGCTGCAGCGGTTTAAACGAATTAACAAAATAATATTATATTACACTGAGTAGTGAGGACTGAGCGTATTTTATTATCGAGATTATAGTGTATAATAATAATAATATAATATATGTAACGCGGCTGTTTTTTCTCCGGCCGACTTAATATTGTAAACATATAAATATATTATATTATGTAAAATATATTATAGAAATTGTATATAATAATACGTTATAGTAATATTTTATTATACGTCGTCTTGGCTGTGCTGCATGAAGTAACTCGATATTTCAGTATCATATTATAAGATACTCGTGCATAAAACTATAACTATTCCCATCGTGACACAATATGCCGTTGGTTTTTTAGTTGCAAATTTCATACACATATATCATATATTGTATATATACAGGATGATTCGCTGACCACGCTCACCCCGATTTTCCTTTAACTAATTTATTAAAAGGTATATTTCATTTTTTATTTTTTGATATTTTAAGTTTACCTGTAAAGACCATATTTTTAAATACTTATAGATTTTTTATGTATTGTCTAAGGCATAGTAAATAGAAATAAAGCCACAGTGGTTCCTATGGACTTTTTTTTTCATCGCAGCATATAAAGCTATATAAAATATAAATCAATATTCGAACAAATAGGTAGTTATTCTAAGTTTTTCAACTTAAGGTTATAATTAAAGTAAAAATAACCTTAAAAAGTATATGTTTGTTAGGTGTCTAAATATGTCATAATACGATAAATAAATAATAATTTAACTCTAAATATTAAGAATAATATAGGTTAGGCCACGATAAAAGGTTAAGATACTATGGGGAGTGAAAAATGTCCTCTAAAAAAAAAAATGTTTTTAGAATAGCAAGATACTCTTTCATTAATACGAAAATTCTATGTATTAAAAAATATGGTCTTTGAGTAAACTTAAAATGTCCAAATATCAGAATATGAATAAATGCATAATATTAAGATAATAGGTGGATCGTGGATCGTGGAAGACCATGATATACGTCTTTATGAATCACTCTGTAGCTGTTAAACATAATATATAATGTTTTCGCCTATTGGTACATATACTACAAGCTGATATACTAACACCATATTTTTTACGTTATGTGTACTCAGGTTTTAGAAAATTTAAAGTGGGTTATACATTGAAATTTTAGTTTTTAGATATTTTATAAATCGGATTGATTCAAAATTCGTCACAAAATAAATATCACTTCTTGCGTTTACCTACATGTGCATTTTGTATATCACTAACTTTCGTACTCGAATAATTGTATGTCCACATAATAATAGAAAGTGTAAGAAAGTGTACTATATCATTAGGTCATTCGGAATACATTGAAAACAGAAATACATCCATAGAGATAAAATCAAACTTGGTAAAATCTGTTTTAATCATTAATAGGTATAGGTACGCGTTAATACTAGTTAATATTTTATGAAATACGTACCTGTTATATTATGACACTTGCACTGTGTTTAATTCTATGGACTATGAGATAGGTACTTACTCGAAATATGCCTTAGTTAAACATTTTTTAGATATTAATATTTTACATTTTTATATTGTACAACAAGTTGATTACATTGTGTTTTATAATGATGATTAATAAAGGTACTATCGAAAAAAAAGTATTTAAGAAAATATTTTGTAGAACTCTACTCAGACCATCCAATTTTAGTCTTACCAACCGACTACTTCACTATTAAAATAATTTTATAAAACTGAATTAATTTTAAACACAATAATGATACCTACATATACCGCGCTTATTTCACTAATGGCTGATGCTAATAGCCGATGAACGTTAAAATAATATTTATATCAATTTAAAAAGAAAAAAAAATAGTTATTGTCAAGGCCACACGCGTTACATCTATTATAATAATGGGTAAATTATAATTTATTACTGTGATTTTTTCTATTTAATTTTGTGACTTAAAAGTTAAAATTATATTTCTGCGCAATATAATTTACACTTTACTGGGTGATATTATAAGTTGTAACGTTTAAATGTCATAAAAAATGTTATATTCATACTATAGAGTACTCGGTTACAACGGGTATGAATATAGTGCAATTATTCATTTTAGGCATTAAAAAAAACATATAATATAATGTGTGATGTGTGTTTGTTTAGAGAGATAGACAAAACATTTTGTATGTAAACAACGTATAGGCAATTATCCAAGTTAGGCTCCCCACGAAATCATCATATCATATTAACCTTAGTGCGGCACACAATGACCTATATTATAATACCTAAATTATTCCTAAATTAAAAAGTCGAGCAGTAAATAATATAGGTAAATAACCACATACATTGTTTGTAACATTTTTAATAATTATTACATCAAACAATATTCTAGTATCTGCACATGGCTTATTTTAATTTTATATTTTGATGCGATGATATGAGTATTTGATTACATAGTTTCTCAAACTGGTGTTGTGCTTTAAGTGTGAGAGGATGCAAACGCTGTTTATAAATCAGTAGTACCTACACATTTTTAACTTAATTTAATTATCTGTGGCTTGAAATTGGTTTGTAAGAGGGTATAACATCTTCGGTATTAGGTGACCTTGTTAAAGTCATCTAGTTATGTAGGGGTTCTAAGTATAGAATTAGGTTTACACCCTCAGGAGCGGTCAAGTTATTCGATTAGTTGTAACTTGTTACAAGTAACACTAAAATAAATTGTGTATCAAGTTACAAGAAAAATATACTTTGGAAATTTGGTACAAGTTATATAGTTACAGTAAGTTAATTACATTTTGTTATTTATGTTTGTATATTTAAGACAATTATGACATTACTAAATATATGTTTGCATGAAGAGTTCACGAGAAAAATGTATTATATAGTAACTAAGCAATAACTAGAATTTAAAAATAAGTATTTATATTGAAAATTATTACAGACACTGCAAATTACAAAATATTACAAAATGTTAAGTATTGTGTATGGTTAGACCATATTGGCATATTAAATAAATGAAATATATAAACACTAAATGGTAAACTCTACTAATATTGTGCTGACACGAAATATGTGCACAGTCATATGAACAGTAAAATTATACATAGGTACAATATTACATAATATTATTTAATCTTAATGTTATAAAATGAAATAATACATTTATAGCTTATAAGTTACAATAATAATACGTATATATTACTATATAATATGATCAAATTATTCTGTTCAAACTTTAAATCAATAGGCAATAATTACACCAATATCTTTGGAGAAAAACAACCAATTTTCATTCATTTATTGACCAATCATTTACTTAAGTAAATAAGTAAGTGACAACGTTACTAAGTTATAATCAAAGAATTTTACGAGTTATATTTTAAATTTGCATGCAAGTCACATAGGTATACCTAACTGATGAGAAGTACAAGTCACAAATGTAACTATGGGTTACGTCACTTTTATAAATGTAACTGATTTCTGTTTAATCTTACTTAAATATTTAATTTTTAGTGGCCAGTTAATACTTTCTCCATCTATGATAAGAGTAGAGCAAGATTCGGAGGACGCCGAAAAACGAAAAGTGAATTGCCCCTGGGCAACATTTTAAAGGGTTAAAAACAATCACACGTATAATAAAGACATTAAAGTATAATAAGTATATCTTTTTTCTCGAAACGTAATTTCATCTGTTTTCTAAATAATATGTATCTATAATTTATATCGATTTACTGCAATATTATAAAATGAAATGCAAATGAATGTATTATTTAGGTATATAATATACTTTATAATAAAATATGATAATTTGTTTATATATATGAGTAACTGATAAGCAATTTGTTAAGCTATATTATAATCATAGCATACCACACCGTAAATAATATCACAAATCGCTTATACAAACATCGTGTTACAACAAATTAAGAATTACAATCGACGTATAATTAATTCAATTATAATATTAAAAGCAGTTTCATAGCAGGTAAGGCATGTATATCTGTATATAATACAATATAAACACTGTTACTTTTGATTATAAATATACTGGTATGTACTAGTTTTTTAATCAATGCTATTACCTACCTACTGATTTGTATTACGAAATCGATAAAAAAATTGTAGATTCAATTTATTATTGAAGACATTTTATGTAAATAAGTATGTATAGCCGCATAGGTAATTATATAGCTTACCTTATTAGTGGTTATTAGTTATTATTCAATATTCTTCGTATACTTCTGGCCCACGATTTGATAATATTGTAATGTCGACTTCCGTTCGTATATAATATGGTAAATTGGTCTATTAATTAATAATTAAGCCGTGAAAAATAAAACACACGTAATAATAATATGCACAATATATATTTCTATGGCCGTAACTGCTGTGCCGTATCAACTTTTGATTTAACGAATTTTTCAGTGATATACTGCGCCAAACTGCGTTATATTTTATAATATCATTCCACCTATAAATTTTGCGTTAGCGCATGCGAACGATCGATGAAAAGTATAACGCGAGAATGATTTAACCATCGTCATGATAACATTATATATTGATCGCCGGCATGTATGAATTATAACGTGAATAAAGATACGAAACAGTAGTCGATAAGCGGTGACCGGACTATAATCCATAATATTAATATCATTATCATACCACAACGTCATCGATTATTATTTGTGGAGTAATGGCATATTATAGCTTTTAAGCTTTAATCATAAAGTAATATATATATATATATAATTCCGAGTCAGATCGTTGATGAGTGTACGCTGTATAGTAATCGGTCAAAGGTCGATTTTAAATATTTAAGATTAAAGGTAGGTATTTTTAATTTTACCTGTACCAAGGTAATTACGCTCACCTACAAGAGTCTTAATATTAATTTATAGTTCATATTAAATATTCAAATTATGAATGATTAAATAATTGTTGCATTCTAGTCATATCATCAACATAAAATATATTATAATATATTCGTACCCACTGCAGACTACAGCTGCCGTTGTACCTAGAACTGCAATGCTAAATGATTTATTAATTTATCATTTTAACAATAACTCTGATTGGAAAGTACAATATTATTATGATAAAATAATTTATTGTATTGGCTTATGACTTTTATTATTTAAATATAGAAAATATTTACCATGAACTACGTTCCCATAATAGTATTATTATTAACGTATTAACCTAAAATAAACCTTTAAATATATTAATATATATTATGTATTTATGTACCTAATTCAAATGACCATTGGTACCACCACTACCACCTACGCGTAAAATAGCTCTAATGCTCTGAAACAGTTGACATTTTAAAGATCAAGTTTTTGTTAGCAATTACAATATTATTGTACGCCATTAAAATATTTAGAATAAATTATAATAAAACTAACTGAATATTAAATATTTTTAAATTAGATAACTTGTAGGCATGTGGTTATAGAATTATACTTTAAAAAGCCATTTTTGCATAATGATTATTATCAATTGTCATTGAAATGGGATGCGAGTAATGCAAAAAGTTTTGTAATATTTTATAATTCAAACAAATTGTAAAAAAAATTATTTAGTATAATATTGTTAAGTAAATACTTATATCATAGAATATATGTAGCATGATGCATATCACTATCAACAACAATTTAGATATTTTAGTTAATATCTGGTTTTTTTTATTTTTGTTTTTGTTTTTGTTTACTGCAAGCATAGAACTAAAAACTATTTTTTTCTTTTTTATCATATGTCCTAGTAATAATTATTAGAACTCGTATTTCCTTGCTTGAATACTGACTACTAATCTGCTAAATTAATCGATTTGTTTTCGATTATCAGAGCATATTGTATAATTTTTGTGAAGTTTTATTCATAATAATTAATTATTGTTCTTTTTTAAAATTTTAATTACACAAAAATAAAATAATAGTACATTGATTATTGAGTTTTAATAGTTGAATTAATATATTAATACATATTATATAAATTATTTAACTATCGTATTTTTGGAGTACGAGAATAGAACATCCTCATACCTCGAATTCTGAAACATTTTGGACTCGCAGAATGACTAACTTAACAAAAGGAGTCGGACGAATTTTCGTATGAACACAATGGGTGGCGCTTTTCGACCAACTCATAACACATCACGGGATAAATATAGGTACATATATTTTATTATATTATAATTATAATTATTGTATTTATTAAATTATGTCCATATACATGTATATATAAATTCAAATAAAAAACGATAGCTAAAAACCTGAATCTGTTTCGATCCACATTTATTGGTTGTTATACAATATTATTTAATCTTAAACTATCAAATCATACGATTTTCATTTTACCAACAAAATTTACCAGATGTACTGATTTATTAAATATTTCATTTTAATTTTATTTTACAAACAGTTAAACACTCAAAACTTAAGCCGTTAAATGAAAGCGATTAAATACAATATATGGTGAAAAAGGAAACTGTTACATTGTAAATGTGTAGATGGAATACAAATTAAATTAAGATTTATTGTTCTGTGTAAGAGATAATCATTACAAGTTAAACAGTTTAAGATTAGAACATAAATGATAAATAATGGGTTGAAATAAAGGGGAACAAAACATTTTTACTGTCGTTTTATAGAAGTCAATTTTTTTTTGTGAACCATTAAGCATGAAAAAATCCATAATGTTATATAATATGATTTAATATATCATTAATATTCAAAATATTATTGGGCTCGTAAAAAGAGTGAACACTTGTTATACCAAAAAGCTTAGGTAATGTATATTGGGAGACTAAATATCCAACAATACAATTAGAACCAAGTTATTTTAAATTATACTATACAATTTAATTTATATTTATAATAAAAAAAATAGTCGTTGTATTGAAAGATTAGAAAAGAATCCATTTTAAGACATTTTCCGTTATATTTTCAATATGAAGTTTACAAAATGAATCTATCGGTTTCGTCAAGCCAGCTTCTGCAAAAGCAAAATAAATTGTTATTAGATTTGTTATTTGTATTTATTAGATTGCACTGCGGGCGTAAGGGCTACTCGTAGATATCGATTGTATATTTTTATGAATAGCAAGTTTAATCAAAAACCATACAACATTGTATTCGACTCAAAGCGATTACAATTATTTTTACAATGAAAATATTGGAATTCGAATGAAAAAAAAATGTTTAAATCTCCTGATTACTAATGATTTTTACCCAGATCAAAAACTGTTATAAAAAAGAATTTGAAAAAACTAAAAAATAGAAAAATTTGTATGGCCATCGCATGACACACCATACTCTTGAATTAATGTGTGCAGCACTGCAGTTATAACCTGTTACTGTTATGCCATTTAATTGAGCTGATAAAACCAAGATGTTTTATGTATTAAACTATTAACACCTACTGATGTTCGATTAATGCTACAGCTGATAATGGAGAAGCATCAACTAGATCGCCGCCTTATTTAGTCACGAACTTCAGCCAGAGGCCAAACACCATTTACCCAAACTATTAGTTATTATACATACTTTGTTCAATGAACACTTGGTAGTATCGAGCAAGGTCTGTAAAATAAACTTTATTACGCTAGTTATCATTTGTGCAAAAATAGACGAAAAGCCATGAAAGTATATCGTTTTCTTTCACTTTCAGCACCACTAATTCAATGTATACGTACTCATCACTGATTTAACTATAAGAAATACAAATGATAATAATTATTTATAAATGTCATATTTTTTAAATGGATCTACTATAAAATAATAGATACATAATAAGATTAGTGAAATTTTGTGTTTTAATTTTTACAAACAATACATAATCTGTATTATAATTTATAATATGATACAATAAGGATATAGGATAAAAGCAACAAATATGAAAGGTTGATATTATTTTGATGACATAAGGAGCCACCCATTGATGTCACTTTCTATTATAATAAAACTATACTAATGCTAATATTACTAATACTATTGAGAACGATACGGGTAAGAACAGCATACGGTGGTTTGTGCGTTGTGCCATTTGGAATTAAATTTCTAACTGAAACTCATTCAGATACGATTATGAAAATAGCTACGGTTGAACAGGGTAATGAAAAAAATAAATCAAAAAGATAAGATACCAAACATTCATAGTACAAAATAGTAATGTGGAATATAAAAATTCAAGTTATTTGTTAAAATATTTTTTGAGATTGATGAGAAATGACCAAAACTTAACCTAACTATGGAACCTAACTATGGATATTGATTCCAAATTTATGTCAAACTTAAAATTATAATCTTGGTTTTTTAATTATTGTTCGAGGAAGAGGTAAATATATATTTATTGGGCGATTAATGTACATTTTTTTTGAAATGCACGACCCAAAGGTCTTAATACATTTTTTTAACAACATTATTAACTTTGACTTTTTTATGTATATTTGCATGAATCCTTCAATAGAAAAATCAATGAAATTTCAACGTTGCACTTTAATTCGTTCTCAATCGTATAAATTTTTTAATTTAATGGTAAGTTCTTTGTTAATTTTTAATTGTTCTCAATGGTTCGGATAAATATCAAAAGTCATCTCATTCTGACGATAACTAAAAATGCAAACTCATTTAAAATATGCAATTAATTATATTACTTTGAAATCAATTGAAATATTAAAAAATAATACATTTTAATACTTTGGTTTATTTTTAGAGTAAATAAACAAATTGAATTTGTATTATCAACATCTTATATAAAATAAGTAGGTAGCCAATATCTGATAATAAATATAAACAAAATTGTGTAACAAGCGCTCTAACTGATAATGAAATGGATTCATACGTATAATGGTACACGGTGAGTAAAAATTTGAGGACAGTTAAATTTCTAAGACACAAATTATTTAAATTAAATTGAAAAATTAAACCCGTTTAAAAAAAATACAAAATGCACGTACTTCTATCACCTAAAAATAAAATAATAAACATACTATTTAATAAATCTCTATTACGTATTGTTCAAAATATTAAAAAAATAGTAAAAATACACTATGTGTAAAAAAATAGCGGATATAGTTTTAATTTATTTAAATATAATTGAACTACGTACGATGTGTAGCTGGAATAAAATAAAAATTATTGTTGTTAATGATAAAATACTCAAATGATTTGTTCTGTCATAATATCATGGTTTGAACCAAAAATTATCAACAGGTGTAATATAATATTCGTAAAATGTTATTATTAGAGATGAATATCTATTAATATATTAAAAAGTTTTTTTTGTAAATTAAAATATTTAATACACATTTTTTCAGTAGGAGACCAACTAACTTTCAAATGTATTAGTTCTGGGTAAAAACCAAAATACATTATCATTTGATCTTACTTATTCATATAGGAATTATAAGAAATATAAGAAATATAAAGATGAACTAATATTTTGCTTTAACAAAATATTTCATCATCTTAAATTTTAAACCAATCAACCGGTGGGAGTCGAGTATTTCAATTTTTGTCAATGTAGTAATTGTTTAATTCAAGATGGCTCAA